GTGCACGGTTCAATCCCCACAGCCTCCAATCAGGGCTTAAGAGCAAAACCCTTAAACTCTGATTGCAAAACCCTTAACCCCTGAATGTTCCCTGGGCGCCACACAATGGCAGCCCACTGATCCCCAAAGGGATGGGTTAAATGCATATATACATTTCTCCAATGTGAGATCAATAAAGTTCAAAAATTATTATAAAGACATAAAATTATCACTTTTTTTGAGGTAAACAAATTTTTTATTCTTTTTGTGGAGTAAATTTCTTTTGGCCGAAAAACAAAGAAGTTCCACAAAATGTTAGATTAGTTCAAAAGGTTTTGACATTACCCTGGATAGTCCCATTTTTCTGTAAAATAGTGTTCAGATTAGTTAAGTCTTATTCAGGACCACCGGCCTTGAATCAAGTACTATAGGTAGGTGAACCTAAAACTTATTCTCCAGGTCTTGTGCAAACTCAGGCAGTTTCTCTTCCAGGATTTGAGTGACAACAAGAGCCAAAAGTTGTATCTGGCATGCCAGTTTTAAATAATGGTATATGTACTGGCATACTGGCCTATATACCATTTATATATGGTATATAGGCCAGTTGGGAAGGGGCTTAGAAAACACAGCAAACAAAATAAGATTTGGTGGTATGACCAGTTCCGGTTCCCAACTGGCATAAACCAGTTTCCAACTGGCATAAACCAGTTTCCAACTGGCATAAACCAGTTTCCAACTTGCATATGCCATATGCCACTTTTGGCTCTAGGTGCTGCTGCAGAGTTTAGCAGCTTCTGCAAAGCATAACGCTGCAGCCTCTACATTTCTTTGAGGTAATGGTGCCTTTAGCATTGTTGGAGTGTTTATTTTGCTCTTTTCTGTGAAATTCGATATGAAAGCTAAAAATTTCCTATTTTTCATCATAAGGTAGTTACTTTCAATCTCAAATAAATAAGTTTGTGTTGTGGCATATGACATCATCATGGTTTTTGGACATTGTAAACATGTGTCCAAGGCCTCCAAAAGCAGTCAAAGCAACTCCCACAGAGGTGTGACCAACCACCCCCTCTATGTGAGGACAGAATAAGGCCCCGTCCACACGAAGACGAAC